AGCAAATCGATTATCTCTCAATCACAGCATGAAGACGAAACTTGAAAACTCAAAGATCTAAGATTTTGGAAATTTTGTCCTTCACTGATGATGAAAAATTCTAGGTAGTTGATTTGTGATGGTGGGAGCTTCAAATTACTTCAATGCAAAAAAAAATTCATGGATAACGAGTAATTGACCAGATATCTATGAAGATTTACTTGCCAAAACGAGCTTACTTCTGAGCCAACACAATAATTCAGTAGAGAAGTTAAATAAGTGAGACTCTTGCTCTGTTAAAAGAAGTAGGCACAGATCTTATATCAATTTGATTCGAAATAAACAGCGTTTCTAGATATTTTGTACGTCTTCGCAAACTCAGGGGTGTTCTTGTTGCTCTAGTTTATCTTCTAAAACTTGTGATTTATGGAACGCTTTCAAAATGCCACCATAAATCACGAATCTTTCTTATATAAAGCTGAATGTCTGTTTGTCTGTCTGTATGTATTATACTTGGGTCCGAATCGAATAGAAATTCGATCATTCGAATAAAACATTCGAATGTATTCGTATTCGAAATTCGATATTCGGAGTTCTTCCATTTTCGAATAATATTCGAAACTCGAATAATCAAAAAACGAGATTTCGAATATTATTCGAAAACTCGAATAATCAAAAAAGGGGTTTCGAATAGATTTTATTCGAATGTTTTATTCGAATGTTTATTCGAATTCGTATTCGAATGACTCCGTATTCAGATCATTCGACTTTTTTGCAAAGCCAACTGCTGAGTATCAAGCTCACTTCGTCCGCGTTTTTTTCGCAAAACTCGGTAATGCATCTTTTGCAACCGTTATACCTTTGAACTGTATGGAGAGTCGCATTCTTCCGACTGCTTACGATAGTAAAAAAATCATATGTGGATTTTAATTGATGTAGAAAGTAGAGCAAGTCCTTTGCTTTTACATTGTTGATGCTGATAAGAAATAAAGTTAACTCTGGTGTACATCAGTCTCTTTCAGACCATCTGAAGAAGAATCTTTTGGGGACAGCATAAAAATTTATATCGACTGCTTTTTGAATCGTCCATAATGGGTAAAATATGACTTTTTGCTGATGTATAGACTAGATGCCGACCGACCGACTTTATCGATTTTTGGGGAAGTTTGAGCTACGAGCTTGGGAGTTGGTACAGGGGGTAAATAAGGAATAAATAAGGATGCTGATTGAAACCGAAATCTATTTTATCGATTTTAGCAATTTTTGGAAAATTTTGAGCTAGGAGTTGGCATAGGGGATACTAGGGGGCTGATTATGATTGGATCGGCTCTAGCCAGATATGTCGGCAAGTTTGAGATGTGATTGCTTTACTTATTCGATAAATCATTATTGTTCGAAATTCGACTTCCAAAGTTCGAATATATTCGATATTCATTCATTCGATATTTTTGATTTTCCGAACTTATTCGAAATTCATTCATTCGATATTTTTGATTTTCCGAATTTATTCGATATTCGTCTCGAAATTTTTCCTTTTCGAATTTATTCGATATTCATTCATTCGATGAAAAATTCTCGAATTACCCAAGTATAGTATGTACGTCCGTACATATTGAACCGATCCGGACCAAACTTGGCACACATACACTTCGGGGCGTCAGTGTGTCTTAGGCTACTTTTCGTTGTCCATCGATATCATCGATATCGATTTCATCGAATTTATCGCTAAGGGGCTGGGAGTTGGCAGAGGGGGTAATCGAGCCTGCTGATTACAAATACAATATTAGTTTTCAAAATTATCCATCACTTTTATCGTTTTTATCGATCTTTTGTAAAGTATGAGTTACGGGGCTGGGAGTCGGCGCGGGAGGGGGGGGGGGGGGGTACGGGCATGCTGATTACTAAAACAGCGAGAATAAAATTGGCATGCAGACATAGACACAGGGAAAGGTTGAACAGGGATAGGGATGAGAGCTTTATCATAGTGTTTTAGCAGGGCCGGGAGGAGCCGGGTAAGCCAGCTAGTTCCCTATAATAAATCAAATAGTGAGAAAACTACATTTCGGAAAGAACCCTCTGCAAAAAAAGAGATGTCTAACTCAATGTCCATGGCATGATCACACGATCTCAAAGTTCACTGAAGCGACACTGACCCTTACTCATCTACTTTAGTTAAAAGTCATAAAATGCTACTTAAGTTGTTATCAAAAATCAAAGTGGCCACTGAAGGAACTCACGAGCAATCTTCATACAAAAGTAGACGAGCGCAATGCTGGCGTACAAGAGGTTCACTAGCTACCGCTCTAAAAATAATTTCTGCAATGGTTCCATTCTTAAGATGTCACTCAATTAACCGCAAATTTAGGCGATTGTGTCTCTCCTTCAGTGCAATACAGAAATTCAACAATTCCATTCCGATAGATGAGTCTCTAATCATAAGGAAAATACGGCTGCCACACAGGAGACTGGCAAGATCTTCAGCATGAAGGTAGGAGACCTAAAAATAAAGGATAGTCAGCATTCTTTTTGACTCCTTTTGTATGAAAATTTCCAACCTCATCTAGCATTGAACCCTTCCGGCAAGCTTCACCACTGAAGTCATCCATTGTCGGAATATAAACACGACCATCGATATAAGTGCTTTCCCAATGTTCTTTTGGTAATATTCTCTTTTTCTCCAGATTCTCCACGTTTGCAGATGTTTTCTTAGGAACAGGTGATTTTTGTGCAACAATCTTCTCTTGCTCCTTTCTCAATCTTTTCCTGATTTTCTTCTCTCTTCTTCGCTGTTGCCGCAGCTCTGCGATTGACAGATTCACGGTTTTTTCTTTTGTTTTAGTAGTTGTGCTTTTCCTCTTTGCTCTGGTCATTTTCTTGATTGAAGTCTCAAATCTAAACTGCAAATTTATCAGTGAAAGAAAGTCTAAGAATGCAACGGAAAAAACTACATTTCACGAAAACTAATCTAGGATCAGCTTCAAGAAACACAAACAGCTTCTACAGCATTGGCGGGAACCGTACGGGGATTCCAACTTAAGTGTCACGGGCGGCGCGGCTCGCGTCCTCGCGAGCAGTCTCGATTGGTCTCGTGCTGTGTTCGCCCTCAGCAGATACGGTGTTTTTCTCATGCTCGATGCGTCGCAATACCGCATTCTTAAAGGCAGTGTCTCACCAAAAATTTGCTGCTGAGATCTTCGCATATTAGAAGCCTATCGGACCATGTCTAACACTGTATGGGGTTGAAACCGCACGAATCTCCCAAAAACTGCGTTCTCGGCAACGCGGAACCAACGTACTTCCGCCACAGTGGCAGCAACTACGGAGGCGGACGCAAAGTGGAGGGACATGTTAAAACGAGTAAGGGGGGAGACCGGAGAAATTGCCCGCGCATACCAAATCGCTCTCCTCGTACCACTTTGAGCTCATTTTTCTCGGCCAAATCGATTCAGACTTGTTGCAATGGCCTATTTGGGGGGCCTTCTAGTTGATTATGTGGAGCGCAACCTCAATTTTGGTGAGACACTGCCTTTAAAGGCAGTTTCCACAGGTATATGCCCCAGGGCGAGACTGTTCCTGTGGTGGTTTAATGTATTAACCACGTCAAAACTTGTCGATGAGGCGAGATTAGCGTGCCGCCCTTCTTTCCGAAGCGTTTTTCTCGCTTCGGAATCCACCTTTTTAAATCAGACTTGAATTGTTGCATTAATCAGGAGCCATGCTCCAACAATGCTTCAAAATCCCACCACCCTTCAGTTGACCTGGACAATGCCTTTAAGTATCATTGGCTGGCGAGCTTAAGGAAAAAGTCTCGCCACACGTTGGCGAACGTGTCCAGTGGCCCAAGCGAAGCGCGCCGACAGTGACATTCAGATTGAAACACCACCTTCAGTCCTCGACAAGTCTGTCTGCGATCTTCACTGTTAGAGAAAAGTCATAAGTTCCAGCCTTAGGCCCCGGACAGACTTCACGCGATTTGATCGTCGCGACTGAATCGCGACGAGACAACTGTTACAACATCATTCTATGCCGATCAACTAGCATTTCGGTTGTGATACTTTTCCAGCCCGAAATTTTTGAATTTGAAATGAAAATGAATGGAAATGTCGGCCATTGAGTCGCGACGATCAAATCGCGTGAAGTCTGTCCGGGGCCTTAGTGGTATATCATGCCCTTCAAAAAAGAAAGAAAAAGAGGATTCCTCCGCTTAATAGAATTGATTTGAACACGGCAAAAGCGACTTTCGCTTTTGACGAAAATATGGTTGCAATAAAATTTTAGGACTAGTAATCCTTCCTTGCGATTCGAGCTGTTCACCACTTTTCGCGTTTCATAACAGATGGCAATAACTCAAGCCCATATCTCTTGCAATCAAACAGCTAAGTAGACTGCCGAAAATTGGAATCTCAAATCATGACAAGAGCTTCAGATAAAGCAAAATATCTCGGGACCAGTATTTGACAAAATTCAATAAATTTCCAAGGGAAGGAGACAATAGTCGAAAGATAAGACGGTAACAAAACTGTGCCAAACAGACTGAGCGACTTATGGGACAAATAGAAAAGATGCAAGAGGCATAGGCTCATTTGAGACTTGCGTATAGTCAATTCATCGCACGCAGAGACTGGACGACTCGGTTCGGTTAGGAAAGGACGTGTTAGGTGGAAAGAGCAAACGGTTAGAGGAATTGAAGTGCGTCAGATATGAGAGAAGCCACAGCGTCCGCAGTGGCGTCCTGTCTCTGCGTGCCAAGGTTCGCCTATACTATGTGGCGATTTTGATTAGAAAAATTAAAGTGTACGAAAAGAGGGGATTTTATGAGACCAGACTATATCGACAAGAACAGTCCAATTTCACCTAAATAAGTTTCTCATATTCGAATCAGAGTGATGTGTACAAGCCGAACTAGATAGCTAAGAATTTTCTTTAGCCGAAAGCGTTTGAGAAACACATAGCGAATCAAAAGTAGATATTTATTCACGGGTGTAACAACAAAAACAATTCTTCAAACAAACAAGTGCAGTAGTCTGTACAGAACAAAATTTCCGTCAAAAAATCATCACAACATTCGGTAACAAAGCTGTAGCAAGAGGACTTCAACAACCAAGAAAACGTAGTGACAACAATGCAGAACTAAAACAACAAAGGCTTATGTTTAGAGAGTAAATCAGCTCTTTTCAAGTTGAGATCGCAAAATTTTGTTATGGTCCCGTAAATCACGATTGCTCATCACAAGGCATCTAAATCCACAAAACTTATTTAACGACAATTCATACTACTAAAGGAACAAACCTAAACATGACTTTATACTGTGTCGGAACTGCTGGATCAGCATTAATACATCGCAAAACTTCATCCCATTCATCTACATGGGCTGATCCTGAGCCAGACACATGGTTAGATGATGTACTGTTGGAAATGCGAGATTCAGTTTCCATCTGAAGATGTGTCGGTTTTGGGAAAAATGCATAAGTTACTGGTGGAACCCTACCCTACTCTTCACATCAAACTTCTCACGTTTGACTTTGGTGTAGTCATATACAGGAATATCATCCGGTGGTCGATCTCTTGGAAACATCTAAAACTATCAGAATGCGATTATGGTACATTTTTCGCATAAATTGTGCTAACCTTCAGTGGAGGACTTGTGACAACACCAGGTTCTAGTTTGATTCGTTTCAGCGGAAGAGGATTCACTTCCTCAACTATGCTACCACTCCGTATTGTAGCATTGTCTCTAGGTAATTCAGCATCTTTTGTCCCATTCTGAGCACTGAGCGAATCATTCTGTGGTATACTTCCAGCTGCAACGGAAGTACTGTTTACTTGTGCGCTGGTCATCACATTTTCGTCCTGTCGTATTTCAGGATGGGTCAGCTGGAAATTATAAAGCTCTTTACTCATGAAAAAGCCTGAAATGGTTCTTGTAAAACAGATCAGATTGAAATACGAGTGGCCCTCTATGTTGGCAAAGTATTCAAGACTAATTACGACAGAGGACTGCTATGAATTTTTTCGCGCAGTGACTGCTTTGCTCATGGCTTATGGGAAGGAGAGTATCATCGGCTCCACGATTCGTGTAGAGGCGGAGTCACAAGCGCGCCTGCGTACCGAACATGTTAACATACGGCGCGGAAATCAGCTGTTGCGTTTCAGCATCTGAGAACAAAATTAAGCTTCTTATGCGTTTTTTCAATGTTTTTCTTTCCTTCTTTGTCTGAGTTCTCATCTAAATTGCGTATTAGGTCTTTCTACGGTTATTTCTCGTACAATTCCTTATTTTCTCGCCATTAGATGCCGTATGCTGCGAACTAACACTCTTCGCTGATTTTTTTTTTGCATTTTAGTCTAGTTTTCGTTGTTGTTCGTTACTTTCGTTGTAGTATTCTCATCACCTACCTGTTTTGATGCCGTGCACCATTCGTTATCGTTCTGATCGCTGTTTCCGTTTTCTTTCAGGTAACCACAATCGTCGCATATTGGTGAGTTGTTGCCATTTTGACTACATCAAACTGTTTCTTTATTTTCTTCTTTATTCAGCATGCTTCCGTTCAAGCATTCATATATGTGATGTCATAATCTGCTTTTATGTGTGTTCATGTCAGTGTTCCCCCTGAAGTTCCCCCCCTCCCTACACGCTGCCTCTGCTACAGTTTTTCACCGATCGTTTCACTTCTTTTTAAGAAAGTGAACCCCTCGGTGCTTTAACTGAAAGAGCAGCATTTCCAAGAAGACTCTCACCTACTCTTTCTAACTCGCTCATTGCATGCTGTGATCAAATTTAATGCACATTTAGGGAACAAGGTCAAGTGAGTTTTTCTTTCTGTTTATTTATTTTCTTTATCCTTGTTTGAACGTGTATCCACGTCATGATGTGGCTGCTGCGAACGAAGAGTTCAGTCTCGGATCATTTGATCCGAGGCTTGTACTGGCTTAGAATCTTTCAAGCTCTTCGTGATGCAGCGCAACGATTTTGTGAGTTGAATGGAATCTGAATGAAAAAAGGAAATAGTATTATTTAGTCTGCTCTTGCTTGCCGTTTAATCCTTGGCAAGGACACATTTGGCGCGGTAAAAGTTTCTTGCTTAAACCTTCTTTCTTGATAAATTAGCGAATTTTTGCAGACTCCTTCACCTCAACAAACAACCAATCATCCTAGTGACAGGGTAACCATCACTCATTTGCAATTTTGTTGTTGTATTTCTGATTCCTTTCCACTTCACATTGCTGAAAATGCATCTAACTTCATCTGGATGCTCCAGAAGAAGTTGGAACCATTTTTTATAACGGAGCGTTACTATCAGAAATAAAAATTGCTGAGTCAACCGAATTCATCTTGACCATGTTTCTACCATCCAGTGTTGGCTCTAACTCTATATGCGCTACTTCTCGTCTCCACACAGTTCGAAGACATTTTAAGTATTATCAGATCTTACTCTATAAAGTATTGGTCGCTTTTTTTCTTGGTGAGATATTACCTACCACATTAATATCTGAACGTTGCTTAGCAAACCTATATTTGTTTCTCGTAGTTTTAGAAAACTTTCAATAGTGTGGGTAAGATTAGTCACACAAGTTTGAATTCACTAGTAAGAATTAGCACTCGTCTTGAACCTAAAGGGTCTTTAGGTTTCATCACTCTAGACATTTTGGTTACCTTAAACATACTTTTAGGCTCAAAACAATGACATTTTTGCTTGTTGAATTCTCTTGAGGTACGGTCCAGTTTTGGAAGAAATCAGTCGCTTTTGCGATTAGTAACTTACAATTTCTTTAAAGTTTTCATTTCGATCATTGAATTCTGCTCTAGGAAAGCTGCTCAGTTAAGAGCACGCAGTCTCAATGAAATGTGCACTGTTTTTTAAACCTTGTTTATTTATTTTTTGAACCTCAAAAGCCTAAATTTTCTGAATGCCCTGTTTCATCTGTCACATTCACGGCATTGTGCAAAAAAAGTTCAACGACCGTATTCCTACTCTACTTCATTAGAATCTTTCTCAAAATCAGACTTGTTTCATGCAACTATTGGCGAAGTCTGACAAAATTGTGACCAAAAATTATGATAGTTACAACATCAGTTCATCCCTAGGCTACCAGTGGAAGTGTTATTGGGCAGGAGGCAACTGCAGCACCTCATCCACAAGATTCAGTAAGCATCGCAACTCATAGAAATTGCAATTTAAATATTTTCTCCATACCAGAGATCTCGCGATCTGGGGTTGTTGCTGAGGGACCTCAGTTTGGAAATGTTCAACCCACACGTTCTTGTAGATGACGCCATTGATGCCCCACAACATCCTGTGCTCGATGATAGATGCCGTGCAATTATCACGAATGTGAAATCGTTTTTTGAAGAACTGAGGCGTCAGTTAGGCCAAGAGTGCAGGGGCACGATCTTCGATGGACCCTGTCAACTCACCGCGTTGGCGTGTGGAGTATCCGCCACCACCGTGTATAGGATCAAGACGGAAGCCACGTATGTGCGCAAGCCCATTCCCAGAGCGTCCCTACCAAACAGTGGACTCGGAAAAACAGAAGGGCACAAGCTCTCAGAACGCACGGCGGTGAATGGGGAGCGCCTACTCGGCATCTGATTCACGAAAAATTCAAGCAGGAAGAAAACGTCACAGTTGCCGAGTTGTGGAATGATATGAAGGAAAAATACCCCTCATTTGCGCTGTCTGAAACCAGTTTTTACTACCTGTTGAGGGGACTTGGATTCACCTACAGGCTAAATAGCGGACAGCGCTATATCTTTGAACGGCCTGAGCTCGTTAACATGAGATCCAGGTACCTCAGTGCCGTGGACAGAGCGAGAGAAGAGGCCCACTGTCTCGTCTACATGGACGAGACGTGGGTCTATGACTGTATGACGAGGAAGAGGGGATGGGCTGACACCACAATCCCCCGGTTTGCCCCCGCTTCTGTCTTGGAGGAGTTTTCTTGCGGCAAAACCGCAACGAAGAACAAGGGGCGGAGGGCGATTGTGATCGGGGCCATGTCGGATGAAGGAGTCGTACCGGGCTGTACCCGGGTAATTCTCAGCGGCCGTGGTCTAACTGACGAGGACTACCACCGCGACATGAACAATGAGGTTTTTGAAGACTGGCTGAGGAATTCGCTCCCTCATATGTTGGAAGTTGCGGGTAGTCGGCACTTATCCTTGATTATGGATAATGCGCCTTACCACTGTCGTCAGTTAGAGAAGGTGATGCTTTCTTTTGGCTCTCACCAAGATTTGTTTCAATAAGCAATCCCTTAAGATACCTGGTCCATCTTCCACAAAGGCCGTGATTGAGAATTACCTGCGGTGCCATGGCATAACGGTTGAAGTAAACAGCACTAAGGAAAGCCTGCTAGCTGAGGTACAACGTAGTCTATGAGATTTGAACACTCTGGATGTCACAATTTTTCAGCTCCGGGAGTTCATTGGGAGTCGCGGCGGCAGATTTGCTCTACGCAGATATGCCGTTGAATCCATCTGCGCTGACTTTGGAGTAACAGTGATAAGGCTCCCGCCTTATCACTGTTTCTTCAACCCAATAGAACTCTGCTGGAGTCAGCTAAAGGGCAACCTGGCCAAGTCCGGTAAACCAGGGGACTCCTTAGAGACGGTATATATTTCAATTTTTTCCATATGAAAAAATTAGTCCCATCATTCCATCACAGGTCAGAACACGGACCCTTGAGTGGATGGCAAATGTACCAGCCGATTTATGCCGCGCATGGGTAAATCATGTCAAAAAAGAAGAAATCGCAGCAAAGGAGAAGATTTTGATAGATCGAATCAATTATGAAACCATGAGGGACTGGGAGCAGGACGCATCATCGGATGACGATGGATCGGATATTAGTGATTTGGAGTCGGAAATGTGAAGATGTGAGAATAGGTAGAACTTGATTTCAGAGTGCTGTGTGACCTCATCCAAATTCAGGCATTTTTGGACTTCAAGCTACAATCATAGTTAGTCTCTTACGCTGTAGTGCAGACATCTTCCCAGCAAAACGGCACCTACGTCAGCTACGTTTATGATTTGTAAACATCAAGACTTTTTATAGTTACGGATGAGGGCAGTGAGCAGATGAAAACACGCACCACTCGTTTCAAGACTATTCCGACACAACAGATGACAATAACTAGATCAAGATGAAAAGAAACATTTGAATGATGAGATGGCATGCGTACAGTAAACTTCCATATTCAATACTGACAAGGGTGATAAAGGAAGAAAATGGAAATACAGCAGTCTCAAAGGAAAAATCTAACCGAGCATCTTCTGAACAAATACAGCTGAGAACTTGGTTACTTCTCGACGAACGCACTTATCGTACACTTCCCTAAGCAAAACTTTTGAGTTGAAAAGAACGCACACTGTATAGAAAAGATTGATTTGTATATTAGGAAGCGACAACGTGCGACAAACGAGATTATTGTTTAGGTCAATCGATAAATGTCCAGCATACACCACGAAGGTTTTCTCCAAGAACATAAAAGCTGGACTGCACAGTGAATGTTAACTTTGAGCAGCATGCCTCAGGAACTTTCAACATATCTTGGCAAAAAGAAAATTGCATCTATGGTTATTTTAGTTACTAATCTGATATAGACCAGTTGATAACTTGTCCAATGGGGGACTCATCAACGTCATCCAAAACAAGTTTACCAATCTTTTCTTTAGACATAGTAAAACAAGCGAAATATCACGTTTAAATTGAACAGCGTCAAAACCTGCTATTTCACATAGCTGTGGTCGGCAGCTAAAAGTGAAAAGAAAAATTCCTCTTTGACGTCTGGCTTTTGTTTTTTACCAATGAACTGAACGACGCCTAATATCCACTTATTCTGACCAGATAGAATTGAAGAATTCTGTAGACTAAGCAATTCAGCCTTCCTACTACCAAAGAAACATACGTTCATAATGTCGCAGTGAACCAAAAAGAAGTACCCTATTTTCAGGTGTATAAGCCGCACCCTTTTTGCTCTAAACGCGAGCAGACCCAGGCGCGCCGCCGCGCATATGTCTCGCGAAGCGGTCGCCTTATCGCATACTGCTCTCACTTAACGCGCTCCATGATGACAGTCAGTCTTTTGGCGTGTTCGCCTTTAGAGTGAAAAGGGTGCGGCTTATACACCTGAAAATAGGGTATAAGGGACTCGGAAATCGGAGTAAAAACTAGGGTTAATTTTTGAATGACTACATATAAATGGAAAAGGGATTTTTGAAGAAATAGTGTAGTCAATGCAGTTAGGTACCTGTTTTGACAAAAAAATTTGATGAGATTCAGCTTGCGCAAGATCATCTGCATTCGTGTCGTTAGAATCTTGTATTCCTATCAGCAACTGCTTCCTTGTGATTGATATTTTCAATCTTTGTTCTCATCTAACATAGATGAACACACAATACCTAAAAGAAACCAGATATCGTGATACTTACCAAACGCGGAGGATGCTTCACAATTCGATGACTAGTAAACAAATTTATAACTTTACTGGGATAAAAGTAAAACCGCATACAAATAAGAAGGATATAACTCAACAAATCTTGAGTGAATTAGGACTAGGTAGAAGATCAAACTCAGGAGATGGATACGCTGCTTTTAACAACGGTGATAGACAGCACAGAAAAAAAAGATGCCTTTTGCCAGATTTATTTGAAAAAAAAAACGTAAGAAACAGTGTAGACAATGTAAGCATACCTGAAGTATAAACATTCGGATTGAATGATGCTTCGGATTTACTTTTCAATGAAGTTGGAGGGAAGCCGTCTTTTGAAAGCATACTCTGAAGAGCTACCTTGTAGTACCAAATAGGCAGCTGCAATACTGCATATACCAGATACTCACTCGTAATCGTAATCGTACTTGCGAAGGGCTCGGCCGATGCTTTAGTCAGATATCATTCGCTCTTCCTGGAACATACACATCCACCAATATCAAAAATGAAAGATACGATGCTTCGTCAAGCACAAGAATAGCAAAGGGAAAAAACAGTCCAAGATCTTACCTTTCGTTCATCAGCAGGAACTAGCTAGCAACTCACCAATATGCGACGATTGTGGTTACCTGAAAGAAAACGGAAACAGCGATCAGAACGATAACGAATGGTGCACGGCATCAAAACAGGTAGGTGATGAGAATACTACAACGAAAGTAACGAACAACAACGAAAACTAGACTAAAATGCAAAAAAAAATCAGCGAAGAGTGTTAGTTCGCAGCATACGGCATCTAATGGCGAGAAAATAAGGAATTGTACGAGAAATAACCGTAGAAAGACCTAATACGCAATTTAGATGAGAACTCAGACAAAGAAGGAAAGAAAAACATTGAAAAAACGCATAAGAAGCTTAATTTTGTTCTCAGCTGCTGAAACGCAACAGCTGATTTCCGCGCCGTATGTTAACATGTTCGGTACGCAGGCGCGCTTGTGACTCCGCCTCTACACGAATCGTGGAGCCGATGATACTCATGAATTGCCTTACTCAAAGCTATGCATGGATAAAAGGCAAGAAGCTGATGATAAGTGTTTTAAAATCCTTACTGTGATATGTTCTGCTCTTATTACCAAGATAATTTCGGACAGGCTGACAAGAATCACACGAAAGACTGGATGACTGCACCAGATATGATTTATGAAAAAAGAAAAACGAGAAAAAAGGATTTTTGCACATAGATAGATACTACCTTTGACAGATCGGCCTCGCTCTGACCAGTTTGGTCCCCTGTCAAGCTAGAACACTGACTGAATGTGGACGTATTTGCGTGTTCTATCGTCTGCTATAAAAGAAAAGAACGAACGCTGACATGTAAGAGATAAAAGCAATCTGCTTACCAGTTTCTCCTTTATTTTATTGTAGATCGGCAAAGAGTAGAAGCTTGCTCGATCACCATTCAGACCGACTTTCGTCTGATTTCTATGCATACACAACTGATCTTAACTCTAGAAACATATCATCAGAAAAGATACCTCAAAGTGTGCAAGGCGTAAAGAGCTAGGAAATGGGTGAAACCAGCGGAAATGCCTTCCAACATCTCCTCCGCAAGAAATTTGTCATTGTTGCAGAGTGCCCAGATCTTGTCCAGATTTCTTTTGACTTCTTTTTCAAGAACCGCTGAAAGTTGTATTCACGAGAAACAATATTACGAGCAGTCGTATACTACCGTATTCAAGCACAGGGTACGTCTCATTGGACGCAAGAAATTTTGTACCAGAATGCCATATCATGAGACGTTGGGCGATGAATTCAGTCAAGATAGTCCGCTAGAACAAATAAGTAAAAACTGATAAGATACCGAGATCTCAAATGATGAAAAAGCTTACATATCATAAGTACCTGCTGGGAGGAAAGCAAGTCCTTGGGGACAACAAAATTCAGAACACCATTTAGAAAAGAAACAAGTGATGGCTCTTTGAGAGCATAGGATCTGCAATCAATGTAAGATGACTGAAAAATCTAATAAGGAGCAATGAGATCATTAAAAGCTAACGGTAGAAAATTGGAATAAACATATTTATAACAATCATGTCGGGAATATATGCAGCTCAAAAGTCATATGATGACTGCGATTGTTAAACAGTTTTGTGAGTCTGATGACGTTTTGCAGAAAGGATGCCCAAAATTTTTGTGGCAAAATCCTCGATCAAGTGGAAATCCAATGCATACACTGACCAATTTTGCAATAGCTTATCACGTTATCAATATCACTATCGTAATAGCATCAGTATATCTTAATGAGATTTATTCTATTTTCGACAGCTTCACACAAAAGAATTAAATCCAAAAAGCAATTCAAAATGTTACACTATACATATCTTTATGATTACTAAAAGGCACCGTCCATCCAAAATGATTTCGATAAGATTTTGATGCCTAAGAGACCCGTCATATCGTCCCTTCCACATTTGCTGCTAAACTTCTGGCGTCGCGGACGACGTGTACAGTCGAGTAGATTTTCCGCTTAATATAGTGTGCATATATTAAGCGAAAAATCTACTCGATTGTAACTAACACGATGTTGGCGCCAACACGTTGGCAACATGCAGCAACATGTTGTCGTGGCCAAAATGTTCTGCCAACATGTTGTGGCATGTTGCAAACATGTTGTTGCCACGTTGCCAACATGATAGCCACACGTGGCAGGTCTGAGACGCAGACCAAGGGTAGCACGAGCTGTGGAGAGGACGATCTTCGCAGAGAAAATCCCAAAAGCGCCCAAAAAGCTCAAAAAAACCAGAAAAGCCCAAAAAGCTCAAAAAAGAACGAAAAAGCCCAAAGAAGCCGAAAAAAGCCAAAGCCCGAAAGAGCCGGAACGCAAAAATGAAGTTTTGGTAGAATTCTGACATTATTTTGAGTGCAGACGAAAGAAAATGAAGCAAAAGACCCGGCTGCGAAATTGACACACATTCCTCGTCAAAACGGAGGGACGTTCCGCCTCTTTCGGGCTTTATCGGCGAAGTATGACGGGTCCTTAATAGTAGCAGGGCCCTCAACTATATACCCGCCTAACACGCGCTGCTAAATGTTGTTTCCGATGCGAGGAAATTGCTTCAAAAATCGCTTCGGATGACGGACTCGCCAAGTTGGCCCGTCCCCTTTGAGTGGGCGTGACGTTCGCCCAGCCCATCCGTGCGCATCCACCAATCAACCTTCTGAAGAACTCGCCCTGCGGGTTCTGTGGAAGGGGATTGTAAGGCTTTACGCGGATTCTCAACTTCGTTGGAATCAGGGACATGAGAAGCCTCCGAAACGACAAAACATGCAAGTTGAGATTTTGGATGGACGGTGCCTCTAACAAGCCTTTTTTACCTTTGCATTTTGAAGTTTGTGACCTTACTAAATCGATTGCGACACCTTGGACTTTGCAGCAGCAGTAAAAAGAAAAGCTCGTATTTGGCACTATTAGCACAGGAAATACTGTAAGAAAGTGGAGAAAATCCAAACATACTCTATGTTTGTCATTCCCTCATCGACAAATTTTGGGAAACATCGCTGCGCAATTCGTCTGAAATAATGATGCCGAACTAAGATAAAAACATCCAAAACATACTCTGGTTTGAGCACTCTATGCTTCTCCTTAATGGTACGCACTGCGCTAAGCAACGCCGAATACAGTGGAGTATCGTGTATCTGCTGAGAAGCATTTGCCCCAATTATAAGTCGCAGCAGGGTTCCAGGCTGCAGCACTGATACCTGAATCCGAAGTGGTAGCTTTTCCCACGTCCGATTACGCAAACTACCTTGTCTAAGACAGAACCATGCTTCTTGGCGTATGTCTGTTTCATTTCTTCGAGGTAAGGAACATGATTTTCTGGATTGACAAAAAATCCAGTCGGCATGATTTACCTAAATTGAACATTTGGTAAGTCCGTGTGGGTTTCAAATAGTGCCGCCGCAAAAAAATTTCCTGCCTTCAGCGCGTGTTCTACATAGATACTTAGCGAAAGACGCGCAAAAAGCATAAAAGCGGGAATGAAATCCGAGCGACGAGACATAGCACTTATGCGTCGGGAAGTCAACCTTCTCGCATGACAGAGGCACTCAGATAGTAAACGTCCAGACATTTGTCTAAGAAAATAACGTCCTCGAAACTTTTATCACACCCACGAAAAGCACTGAGAAACGCTCCAGCATTACTGCTTGAAAAAGAAATATCCCTCTTGCTATGGGTGGGCTGCCCTATGTTTACCAATCCTAAAATGGGAAACAGCCAACACATAGCATAACAAATCAACATCTGACCGAGTTCACTCGAAAAAAAAAACAAGGAAACGATTAGGACAACAGACAACAACAATATAACGAACTACACGGTCAATTTTCGTTCAGTTCTAGCTTTTTCCAGTTGTAGCGCAATTTGCTGAGCCCGAAGAGTCAGTCGCTTCGTGTTCTCCATTACCTTGAATGACGAAGATGAGGTTGCTACTTACTTTGTGGACTGATTAATGATCACCTGCTCATGAATGCTAACAGCTTTGACTCCCATAACGACTTGTCCCAGTTTGCTGTCGATCTTTGCTCCCTCGATGCGATAGTTGCGAATGAGATCAACAATCCAACGTTCAGCTTCTACCTGCAAAACATCAACTTCTCTACTGGCTCAAATGGACCTCTGACTCTACCAGAAATATAAAACGTCACCTGCGACATATTGAGTCTTCTAGCAAGCATTTCTATGCTGATACACTGATGAATGCGACAGAACATCTCAAAAATCAAAAGTCGAGCTGATTCTCGAAAATCTGACAGGCAACCAGTGAGGAAGAAGTCATTTGATAGCACCTAAAGGGGTGAATGATTGCAGGAATGACGCAAAAGAAGAGACGCACCTCCTCGCATTGCCGAAGTTTCTCCTGTGCTTCGTCAAAGTCATACTTGATATATAGACAAGTGAGGAAATCAGTAACAGGGTCTTGATAATTATGACGTTCCTGGAGAAGTCCATATAAAGAATGAAACACAAAAAAACTCACTTACGATGTCGATGACTTTTATAAGATCCTTCAAACTATTTTTCTGTTTGTTTTTACTGGTCACAACGGCGACAGCGAGATATCGAAGAAGATGAGGGCACATTACCTAAAGGCGGTTTGATCGACACATAATTCATTGTTTGATCAGGCGTACCTGAATCGTATTTAGGTAAAGTTGTTGGTTGAGAAACATCTCAATTATGTCATCACGTCCTTTTGGATAATTGAAATAAACGAACAAGGCCCAATGCATGAGCCAAGCCCTTTGATGAATCAGTTCCCATTCTGTGTCGAAAGGATTGGAATCGATGTAGGCGCGAAGCTTTACCAGATCGTCACGAGCATGATCCCATTCCTATAAACAATCTTCGAGTACGCTGTACATGTCACGCATTCAGAGCGTCACATTGGTGATAACGTCTACCATCCCTCTGTACACGGCTGAGAACTTGATATTAGGTTGGTGCAAAAGTAATGCGCGTTTTGCAAGTTCTCACTTTGACGTGCTATAACTTTCTAAAAAATCCATATTTTTCAGTGCGGCAAAATTCATTAGAGGCACCAAACCCCTCTCTATGCAGCGCACATTAACTTATATTAATAACGCAAATCAATGGAAAAGTATGGATTGATAAGCAAAAAAATTTTTTTTCGGTAACCTCGTTTTTAACTGATCATAACTTCCTTCAAGAATTGTCGGTGTAAATGATAAGTTGACTGTCTTGTAGCCGCAATCCAGTAGTACAAAAAAAGTACAAAAGGGCACAAACAAAGAATATCTGCGAAAAGGAAAAAAATATTATTCAAAATTGTCCGCTTTTTTCGACATTTTTTCGTAGCCCTTATAATCCCAAAATATGGAGATTTTTCATTTTCTGTATACTGAACAGCTTCCACATTTCTGCAAAAACTGTCAGCAACAATAGGCCCACCCTTACGCTTACAGAAATGAGCAAAACTTTGGCGATTGCCCTCTTCAAAGGAAATCTATGGGCCATAGAATGGCCGAAACCATCACTCATGTTTAGGCGCCGAGATCTCAGTCTAAGTAACATCTAGGAAAACAGTAAAGCATGCATAACGTAGAAAATTTCTGCTACATACAGTAGTCAAATTTTCAAATGAATGCCTTTACTCGCGCTTGAATTCTGGCCGGAAAAGTAAGTGCAATGAAATTCTGGTTTTGAGTGCGGTTGTATGAAGCTCTATAACGTTTTAACGAATGAGGCTAGAAGCTCCTTTCAACCACCATTGAATAGAGCATGAAAGAAGCTTCATGATACTTTGCTTGGTAAGTTTCATCGGAGAAACTTTGATGGAGAAAAACTATCTTGAAACAAGGGCTAGAAAAACGCGCATTACTTTTGCACCAACCTAATAATTTCTGCGTACAATTTTCAAGTTCCAATTAAATTGAATTTTAGGTGAAATGAGTTGCTAAAACCTTCTCAGCCCTTAAATAAAGCAACCAAATGTGATATATTTCTTTTCATCTGAGAGTATTCGTTAAATAAGTAGATCTGATAATCATCGCTGCTATATTGAAGCACTAGGAAAAACATGGGACAATTTTTGTCCCATTTGCATACATATTTTTTGCTCTAATGAAAGCTCATAACACTCGTTTACAAACGTTCCGCAGATAAGAAAGGCAAATTTGGAATCAACGTTTTATGCTCTACATTATGGTATACATCCCATTCAAAAAGGCCACATCGACTAAACATGGTTCCCTTGTAAGCACCAAAAAGGGTATGTACGTTCATAATTCTTTGAAGGCAGTGTTTGGACAAGAAGTCGATTTGAAGTTTTGTGCTTACCTGAGCTATTCGCTGTGCTGTACCCGGAAGACCACACTGGAGAGCGCGAAGACGGCGAAAAAAAGCTCTAACGCAAGGAGCAGGTGGGAGGGGTTTTCCACACTGTAAGTCACCCTCCCAACTTCCGAAGCGATCTTTTCGGCTCCGATTTCAAGTTACCTTTTCGACTTGGCCGGTGGAGATGTTAGGGCGACTAGCGGAAGCAAGAAGATGCTTCAAAAGTTAAAGGATGACTTTACACAATGAAAGATTCGGACTACCTGCTCATTTCCCTCCTGCGTTAGAGCCTATTCCGGCCGTTTTCGCGCTCCCCAGGTGTGGACTTCCGGTTTAAGCATAGCGAATGGTCAAATCGATTATACGGAAAAAATGCCTAGACTCTATCACTGCACATAATCAACATGCAGGCTACTTCTTGCGTAGACTTCGCTTTGGCCGTTGCCGCACTTTGTCCAATTCACCCACATTGCTATGGTCCGATAAATGCGACTAATATCGAAGCGAACGAAGTGGATCAGCTATGTCATTTGCCTTTGATCAACAAAGTATGAGCATAGCAAAAGCAGAACACCTGGGGAGTCAAAGCTATTGATGAATGTGATTGAGCATGAAAGAGAGCCAGTATTACAACAGCATGAGAAAACAAGAAAGATCTGTAGAGTGGGGCAAAATATGGAAACAGAAAAGATATACAAAGACCACGGATCTGACAGCAGATAAAAGACTTACTTGTAGCAAGATTTCACTAGCTAGTTTTCCATAAAGGGCGTTGAGATAATTGGGATCGCCTTGAGGTACTAGATTGCGATAGTAATAGAGGCACACCTGAAGAATCAGCCTACGATGGAAACCTTACATAAATTTAGTACACACCGATGCTGCAGTATAGTTGCCACATTCATACATGAACTTAGCATATTTGAAGAGAGCATCCACCATATCAAGTTGGAACTGAAAGTAATAGAGATAGAATCCAACATGTATTAGCTACTTACGTTATGGTTCTGTTGTAGAAAGTCCAGTATCTTGTTGTTTCCATCCCTATCTCGTGTACTCTCCATCAATTCCTTGACATCGTCAAGTTCAAGAATCTCTATTACCGGGTCAACCTGAATAGCAAATACTACAATGACCAAAATCTCTGCTCTACTCAGCCTCAGTGAAGGCAATCTTGCTAGATTCTAAATTTACTTTTGCCGAGAACCAATAGTATTCTTCTACGAGCAAATTCATCAGATAAGATCTGATGGGAGTGCATCATACGGATAGAAAGTAAAAGTTAGAATACTGATTCAAAGGAAGTGCCTTGAGTTCTGAACAATCCTATCATTTCTATACAGCCTCTCGAAAATCCCAATCCTCTTCGAAAAATGTGAAGAAAAATGGAAAAGGGAAAGCATCAAGTGAAAGAAAATGAATATTTATTCCAAATTCCTAACCTTAGCTTTGAGTATATCCCTTTCCTTGAGAACCTCAGCCCTTTTCGTCTCCAACTCCTTAGGAATTGGCGCACCTTGATAGGTTTCAGTGAGACTGTCAATCATGTTGGTTTTCATAAGTACATGACGATGCATCTCCACAAGCGAAGCATCATCATATATCTGCGCAACAATGTGTATTCTAATCAGAAAAAGAAGTAACGATACCTTACCTTCCTCGGCTCTATAAATTCCAGCAGTGGGATTATCAAGTGCAAATCGAAAAAAGGAGCCATACGTTTGGTCAGATCGTACTCAGCCATCGCAACCTGAAAGTGATAGCTAAGTTCATTTAGAAAGCTATGTTCATTTCGAACATCCGCAAAAAGAAAGTGATATTCACATCAAAACCCGTCGTCGCCGTCGAAACGACAGGATTTGTGTAAAAAAGTAAGGAATCACTGAGTCAGGACATGAAACAGAGGAAGCTTGCTTTAGTACAAGTATTCAAAGAGAAGATTTTGATGAGTCTATAAATAGCCACTCTACAGGATATTATGGTAGGTGCCAGACTTATCCGAGTCAACCGATTCATCCTGCTCACTACACTCGCTATTGGTCAGTTCAGTGTTTTGACCAATAGCGAGCGGTAAACCGCATGAATCGGCTGAACTTGAGAAGTCTGGCAACTATCTATAGGGGCCTGCAGGATCGCGAGAGTCTTGCGCCGCGCACGTCGTATGTCACTGGGTCGTACTCGATTTAGGCTGGATAGGTGAGATTTTTTTGTTTTTCTTCTCATTTCTCGCCTTCTTTTCTTTTCAGGCGGCGAACATATGTTGGTGCAGAGGAGTTTAAGATCTAGATTAAGGTGAGGTGCAGGATTATGCTCAATACGGGCCAATATTGTGGACTTTTCACCCCTGCTTTGAAGAATGTTGAGTTTTCTGTTCTGGCTGTCCGATTATGTTCGATTTTTCGTCCTGCCTGCCCGGTTACGGAACTCCGTTTTATTTGCAACGTCTGTTCTATCTCATCTTGCATTATGCGCGTCATCACAATCATAATCATTGTCATCATCATCATCATCATCATCACAAGCAATATGCATGATAAGGTAGAATAGACGGTAGAAATAGAACAGTTTGCTGTAACAGGGCAGCCAGGACAGAAAATCCAACATCTCAACCAGCAGGCATGGAAGGTCTGCAATATTGGGTCCGTATTGAGCATAATCCTGCACCTCACCTTAATTCAGATCTTAAACTCCTCCGCACCAACATGTGCTCACCGTCTGAAAAGAAAAGAAGGCGTGAAATGTAAAGAAAAACAAAAAAAAACTTACCTATCTAGCCTGAATCGACTACGACCCAGCGATATCAGGCGTGCGCGGCGCAAAGGCCGTACGCGCGTCCGACTCTCGCGATCCTGCAGGCCCCTATACCTACGGAGTTAGTATTTAGATACGCAGAATATTTTATAGGCCCGTCGCAACTGGAGCACGTTATGGCTGCAGGTCGCGCGGAATGAGAGAATGACAAGAAGGCCCTAGCAGACGAAATTTTTCGGTGTAGCTCGCCCACGTCGACTTGATTCCCCTACTGACAATAAATGACAGTAACTGCCCCGCGTCCTGCCGAAGCAGGCAATCGGTTATGTAGGCGCTAGACTAATCGATTGCCTGCTTTAGGGTTGTTTCATAATGCAGTCGCTGCAGAAATGACAGTCGATCAGTCGATATTTTTTGCCCACCCCAACATAACTGCAGCTGCTGCAGTGACTGCAGTATGGCACCTGCCATACTTGATCCTCTACATCCGCTTGATCCACTTGATCCGCTTCGTGCAAAACGCGCGGACATAGCAGTTTTTCATTTGGCGCCGGGTAGGTATGTAAAAAGGAATTTTGTATGGTTACTCAGACACTTGCACCGGCCGGCGACCTTTCGACGACGGCCTTCCGGCCGGCTGCCATTCCATTATTTTGGGCGGAGCCAAACGCCGGCCGGCCACCGGACTAGTAAGTAATGCCGGCCGGCGGCCGTTCCATTGTGCAAAAGCTCGGAAAGCGCACAAGATTGCGCGTACAGTAAGAAAATAATTTCAAACACTGGGCGCGTCGTGTCTGCTGAGCAGAAAACTTCTCTCTATCAATTTTCTTTTGTTATTGTTGGGGTTTTCTACTTCGGTTGTGTCACTTTCTTTGTCTGATGATAGTTGATGTAGCCCATTATTATGATTCCGTTCATTTCATCCATTTCTTTTCAGATTTGATCAAACTCTATGGTGCTATCTGTGGTGGTCGTTATGTTTTCTTTCTACATTGTTGCTTATTTTGACTTGAATAGCGAAAAAGCCGAACGTCAATGAGTTCACGCCTATTTGCTGTGACGTGAATTCTAGGTAAGTGTCGCAACACCTTTTGGGTACGGACTAAGGAAGTACAAACTAGACACGTCTACAAGCTTTTTTAGGAGACAGCTGCATACATTGCGTTCGGGTTCTTGCTTTTATGATGGATACAATGAATGGTTGATCGCTTTAACAGTGTTATTCGTGATTACGAAACATTGTTAATCGTGAGTACGAATATGGCCAATGAAGGCTCCTTTACATAATCCTCAATGCTGCGAATGGTGGACTATTTCTAATTTGCTGAGTATTCTAATTCATCTGAAGATCGTCGATCTGTTGGTTTCTGGTAAGTCACTATGTGATATACTACCGCATTTCTGCTAACCTGATGCTTACGGCTGCTCGAAGCACTCCAAAAGATGTAAGTTTTCCCTGACTAACATTTGATCGAAATTACCCAGTGTTTTCTAGGGACCGATACGATCATTTGTTCTAACCATCTCCTGTGAACGCTTATGTTTTGATAATGCTCTGCTAATAGACGCTATCGCTACTCTATGCATAGCTGTAAGTTCTAGTATAAGTCAAAAATTCAATAGTTTATTTCATCTACAGGTTATCGGATGCGGCTTATCAACGGTTGAATGTGGCATTCAGAAGTATAAAACAAAATCATGTAACCTTCTAGCCAAACCGGAAAGGTTTTCCAACGATATGTGAACCAGTTGCATCAAATGATTTTATCGTATATATGGAAAGCTTACTTCTTAGTTTTGTGTATATATGGGAAGTCACTTGCTTTTTAGTTTTGAATGTATTTTTCATGCATATGTGTAAAATGTGTCAATGTTTGTTGTTTGTTCAATGTCTCTTTGCATTGTACTATATATTCGCACCACCCATATTAAGGTTACAGAGCTGAATGAAAGCTAGATAGAGAAGAAAAATACTGTGGCCCAGTGCTATCTTGTTGCGCCACTGACGCATGCCGGCTGGCGGCCGTACGGGTACCGGCCGGCGGCCGTTCGAGTACCGGCTGGCGACCGGCTGGCGATCGTTCCGGCCGAAATGTCGGTGACGGACCGGCCGGTCGTGGAACTGCCGCCGGCCGGTGCGAGTGTCTGAGTACGGCAAATACGCTGCACAGCGACGCCAAATGACAAACTAGTGACGCGTTGCAGTTTTGCACGAAAGGATCAAGCCGATCAAACGGATCAAGCGGATCAAGAGCAGGGTCCGGCACGAGTCGGTTTGTGAGCATCTCCTTCAGAGTAGGAGGTGGTTGAAATACGAGTCTTATAGGGAGTCCCGACCCTTTGACGATTTTGTTCAGCTTCGAAGCAGAATTTCATCCTACATAAGGCAGTGTAGTGTGATTCCGTCCGGAGCTCTATAGGGCCTCCATGTTTTGGGCCATATTGGCCGGTATCCATTTTCGTCGTGGATGGTGTTAACGGTAGAGTCTATTTGATTATTAGGAGATGAGCATAGTTTTTCCTTCGTTAGTAGAAAATTTTTGATCAAATCAAAAAATCAGTGAGAATGAGATCGAATATTTCTGGTACAAAAAACCTTCGTCATTTAACATCATATTACATTCAAGTAGCGCCCATCCACAGTACATGAAAGCCAATGTGATCGGAAATTTTTTACGAACGAAGGAAAAAACTATGCTCATCTCCAAATAATCAAATAGACTCTACCGTTATCACCATCCTCAACGAAAATGGATACCAATATGGCCCAAAACATGGAGGCCCTATAGAGCTCCGGACGGAATCACACTAACACTGCCTTATGTAGGATGAAATTCTGCTTGGAAGCTCAGCAAAATGGTCAAAGGGTTGGAACTCCCTATAAGACTCGCGTTTCAACCACCTCCTACTCTGAAGGAGGTGCTCACGAATACACGAATTTATGAAAGAAAATGCGATGGATGCCAATATTGTGAAGAACAGAAAATCTGTTCTTTACGAGGGATAATCTATATGATTGAATGCCAAGGATGCGGCGAAAAGTTTATAGGAGAGAGCGGAAGGCCCTTGAAGCTGAGATTAGATGAGCACAGGAGAGCGTTACTCAATCCTGCCTCCCATCCGAGAAGAAGTTTTTTTAAGGCATCGGACGCTCAAACATGCCATGCAGAAAGCACCGCCTTTTGAGAGTGACTGTTCTACATCGGAGGAAAATACCTTAGAAAGGAAAATTGGGGAGGCTTACGAAATCTGTAGACATAGCTCACAAACAGTAAAGAAGAAATGAAAGATGTGTTGATGCTAATTACTTGACTGTGCCAGCAACTGGAGTTCATTCTTTACTGACTTACCAAAGAAGGAGGCCACTGCTACTGTCACTATTCCACAACAACCTTACCCAGCCTACCTTCTAGCTAAGAAGAAGATGAAGGTACACGCGCCGTTTGTATTTATAATTTATATATCACTTATAAATTGTAATTCAAGGCCTGATGAATTATAATCGAAACGTTGCCGTTGCCAATAAACTACTGATCAAGAGCTCTCCTCAATATTTTCAGCATTCCTTAGCCGGGTCCCAAGACAGCCTCTCAGGGGGGGGGGGGGTTAAATGGTCGCAATGTCCTTGGGTGTAATCGGAGATAGCGAGCATGACTGCAACTTGCAGGTACTCCCCGAATCGAGCTAATTATTTCCGGGTTTCTAAGCTCCGTTTCCCTGGAAAGAACGTTTTACAATCAAAAGCAAAAACTTCTGGTCATTCTAAGCGCTCATTTCAAAACATATCCTTTCAGCTTTTCCCACTTTCTTCATTAACGAGGGCATAAGTTGCTTGAATAGACAGCAAAAAACCCAAAACATTCACTTACTAGACTGGTTTTCAGCAGAAACGAATTTGTGGCTGTTGATGTACAAGTTGCAAAAAAGCCAAAAACCCTTATATCTTGCAATATCAATCAAAATCATTGTTGTCAAATTGTACAGCAGATCTGCATGATTGCTTCAACATGCCGAATCTAACTGAACTCAGATTACGCCTGTGTATCGGAATTCTGCAAAATTGCCCTCCCTTACAACAGCTTCGGTGAGTTTTGTGTTCGATATTACGTGATCTTGACACAGAAGAATAACTAGCGATCGCCGAGCGAACTCGAGTTTTGCATCAATACAGAATAATGCAAAAAATCAAGATAGCAAATAGCTTGCGATCTCTTTTGAATGACAATATATTTACTGGATGAAATGCGAATAATATCAGTATCGAATAATATGATATCACACATGAGATTTGAAGGCAGCCACAGGTTTCTAACGCAGCAGATTTGCGTTAGAAATCTGCTAGAGTCTTTACAGAGAAGCAAATTACGTCACAAATTTCTGTTTTCCTTTTTCCACAGCATTTCTGTGCAGTCATTACAGTACTGGTCCCATGTTACCTGTAATGTACTGGTATAAACCGAGTTTAAAAAATCGCTTACGACACACCTTTCCTGAGAGCTCTGACGTCCGTTTAGTCTTTGTCAATCCTTTACAAATTTGTGGCGCTACTGAGGGGTTTTCTTTGCACATTTTCGTTATGTCCTAGAAATTCACTCAATTAATCAATTAGCAGTGTATGTTACTTGTGAGTGTCAGTCGCGCAGACGCCGCGCGCGACAATGATAGGGCAGCAGAAGTCGCAACGCACGGGTAGGGGGGCGAACTTCGCCAGTTTTGAGCCGCCTCTGCTGGCAACTGGTCTTATTGCAATGTTGTTGGTTGCATGTCATTGCAGGACCAGTAGTCCTCGGAGGCGGCACAAAGTGACGGAGTTCGTTCCCCTTTTCGCAACATACAGTTTTACGTGTTTTACCCTTCCATCATCATATTATCCTATTATTGGCTAGATGTTCAAATCCCATAAGGGTGATTCTTTGAGAGGACAAGAAGGACCTACAGTACCAAATAAATTGAGAGAATTTATGGCAAGGAAGTCTAAGGCTGGTACGTAGGTACATCCGGGGTGGGAGAGGGTCCGAGGAGGAATGTGCCATATTCGCTACCTTAAATATCTCTATTCTTTTTGTTCTGCTTATATCATAAGAGTTTTTATATCCTGATATTTGAATATAATGGATGGGAGAACTTTGCCATACAAGCTGAGATTTCCACTGTTTTATGTACGTCCCCCCCCCCCACAGGAATCCCTTATTTCAGTGCCTTCTATCCTTTTTGCAAGTTGATAAAACGTCGTGACTTGTGCTGTGATCTACTAAAGCACTGCTAAAGATGTTTTCGACAAAATAAATTGACTATGCAGGTTGCAGTTTTTGCGATGAAGAAGACTGCGATATCTGACATGTTGTGGTTTTTGATATGAGCATCCTAGCAGTGCCATAGTTTATCCTTGGCACAATTTTAGAGCTTTTATCGAGTTTGTAGGAGAATAAATGACTTTGGTGATGATCGCCAGAGGATCACGCGAAACACTGGAACCCTTAGCCGATATGACAGTGTACTGTCGTCCATTATACTCAAGCATAAGTGTATCAGAACCTTTATAACGTAGGACGAAAAAGAAGAATACAGGTATTCAAAATATGAGATATGACGCGTCTCCTTTCACGAGGGAGAATATTTGGTTGAAGTGGCCTTTTAAACTTTAATGAAATTATTACCGCTCCATCTGAGCGCTAAGACCGTAATATTTGATTTTACCTAGTATGCGTTCTTGATTTTATCTAGTATGCGTTCATTTTTCGCACCAAAAATAATCATAACTCGGCATGCAGAAGCGCTTGGCAAGCAATAGAATCAGATTTGGAATCCGCGTTTAATACTCCGAATCGGTATAGCACTCATTTAAAAGGGCCATTTCGACTAAAGGACCTCTTTTGTCAGAACGCCTCCCTTTCCAGGGGAGATGTGCCATACCCCAAAATGTTAAATTGCTACAAACAACATTGAGACGCACTCTGAAGAAGTTACGCTGACCAAAAAAATGATGAAAGATGGTGGAACAATCTTAAAATTTTCAATGACTCTAATTACAAGAAGTCCACTTTGTGTTCACTATAACAACTTGGCCCCAAGTATTTCTTATGGGATTCTAATCCCTTTGGGAAAAGAAGCCGTCATTCAAAGAATACGCATCTTGCAGGGGCTACTGTAAAGCAGCGTGGCGGCAGTTCTGAATGACACCCACAAGTGGCGGACGCTTTCCCTCAACTAGCTAATTCGAATATGACGGGCAAGATCTTACCTTAAAATCGAATTTTGCATCCAAATTTTCAGCATATGTTTTCATGAAGTAAGGGCAAAGTCCTACACAAATTTCATCGTCTAGAGGGTGTCCGGCAATGAAATTCATGGAGCAGCTGAGAAGCGTAAAAAGAGAGAACAGCTTCATCGCCAACTACTATCGCTTTACTTCGAACGCGGCCTTTTAAAGGCATTTTAGCATTTTCAATTTAAGATGGAAAGCTGGCGATTTGCACAACGATGGCATTCTAATGGAATAATGGATATTACATCATTGAAGAGGGATAGATGTCATGAGTAGAGAATGAAAGATATTTTTTCGTCATGGCAATTGAATCTTTGATTACCATCATCATTAAAACAAAATAAGAATATTCGATTTACCGCCTGCGATGAACTCCCACTTGCAACGAAGATAAAGCGAAAATTTTTTTTTGGTTTTGACAGCCATCTACTGTCGATGATAACCAACAAAACCATCATCTTTTCAAGTTTTTTTTTATCATTTCCTACCGAAGAACGGCAATTTTTGGTAGATTTGATGATGTGGTATTCTTCAATGTCTGCTTGATTCTCTTTCGGTACTCTTGATTTTTGAAAGTTTCTCTATCAAATGACAGGATTAGAAGGAAGCTAAATAAGGTTATTGTTGAGCTCAACTTTCGCACCCGAAATATTGACTTGGCTTTCGGGATTTTTCATACAAAACACAGAGCAGGAAGGCCCAAAAAGGTCACGCTCGAAACATTACGTTAAGCAAAAAGTCTTGCATAATTTCTTGGTTTACGTGAAGCGATGAAAGGGAAAACAGAGAAACAAAGAAGTTTTGTGGAATAATTTTCATACATATGCAAGTCTGATGGATGACGTTCTTGACCCAGCAAAAATTGTAGGTTGTTGTCAACACTGGGGCAGTTTTTATTCCACCCTCTTGCGCAGCTTACAGACAAAATGTTTGCTGGTTCAACTTGGCACCATAATAATCATAAAACTGACTGCCTCGCGCTGTTGGCCTAAAGCGATTGTCTCGCTTTGGGTCGAACGCTAGCCTAAGCTGAAGAGCGCTGGCGTTGTATGATTTACGGCGCGCTAATGCTAACAAGGGAATGGTCAGAATCTGTAAAACGACTATCTGAAAGGAGATGTGAGCGTTCATTGTGGGTTTGTTAAGTACTCGGCCATGTTTCATTAAAAAAGTTTCATAAATTTTTATTTTATCAAATGTGCTTCTTCCTGTATTCAGGATATTCCTAATATAATTAGGAACTACGCCTTTCAACAAACTATATTCGGTGGTACTCGAGTTTCTTATGCTTAAATGCTCATGATGCCTTTCAGATAGTCGTTCGGCAAATAACGCGCTATATTTTGAATCAGCGTTTCAAAGCGATTCTGTTTATGTGCATCTTTGGAATGGCTGGGTTAAGTTCTGACCATCCTCTCGTAAGTAAGTGTACAGCCTCATTCGATAGTGTTTAGTGTATTTATTCGGTCTTCCCAAAAGTTCTTTCGCACCAAAGTCAAAAATTCATAACTTCTAATTTTTCCAACCGATTTGACTGCTCTTATTGTAATATGAAGTTGCAGGTCATGGTCTTTATAATGGCATCTTAGCTGTTTACTATTGCTGCATAGATAGGAGCGGTAGAAGAAAATTAGTCAAAATTCGAATTTTCTGTGTAGGGACATAAAAAATCTGAAACTTGCGATAAAAAGCAGAGCATTTATACGTTCTATTACCTGCTCTTTCTAGCTATGCAAAGCTTGTGCTGATTGAACGTTTCTATCAAAAGTTATGATTTTCGAAAAAAATGCGAAAATAAATCGAAAATGCCTTTTTGTATTGCTTGCTCGAAAATCATAAGTTTTCATAGAAATGTTTAATCAGCACAGGCTTAACGCAGATAGAAAGAGCAGGTGATGGAACCTATAATACACTGCTCAGATTTTCACTGCAAGTTCCAGATTTTTTATGATCCTGCACAGAAAATTCGAATTTTGACTAATTTCCTTCTACCGCTCCTATCTATGCAACAGATGACCATTAGTAAGCATCTAAGATAAGTTTATAAAGAGCATGACTTACCCTTTCATACAAAAACGAAACCATTCAACTTGGTTGAAAATATCAGGAGTTATGAATTTTTGAATTGGGTGCGAAAGAACTTTCGGGACGACCTAATATAAGTAGTCGTTTTTGTGCGGTCGCTATACTTTTTGGCAAGATCACCCTTATTGGAAAATAGATTAGCAAATACAGATTTGAAACTGATGGAACTCCGTAAATTTATCGCTCTAGTTTATTCTATTTAAGAAACTTTCGATCTCAATTTTTCCAAATACATAAAAACCCCAATTTTTCCTGAATTAAATTTTCCAAATCTTGCGTTGACTTGTATCTAACGATAACGTGCGTTTTGAGCACAAAGTAAACCGCTTGAGCTTCTTGCTTTCCTGACTCGACAAATAATGCGCTACAGGGGATAAATCAAGGAAGACGCTTAGAATTTTTGGAGCAAATGAGAAACGTTTTGTTAGTCGCTTATTTTCTTGCACTTTACCTTAGGAAACCGCGCGGGGCGGAAGGATTGCAGCAACGTCTATTATCAATTGTCAATATCAATCTTTTGTTTTACCATTGTATGCATTCAGCTCGATTTTTGCCCTTTTTTGCCACAAGTTGATAGAACTTTTCTTCCTCTTCGTTCCACATTTAAATGGCTGTTCCTTGTCCCAGTTGCCATAAGCGGAAAGTTAGTAAGCAGGTACGAAAGGGAGATTAATTAACTTTACAAACTTCTGCAGTAAAATATATCAGGCTTTATCTCAAACTGATAGGTTGTGTAATAAGTTTTGTCGCACTTTTTGTTTCTTACTTATTTGGGACGTGCATATGATTTTGGAAGCTCTAAGTCTGCTCTGCAGATGCATATGCGTCATCCCTCTCTAATTTTTCCAGTTTTCCGTTCATAAAATTTACTTCACAACAAACAAAACAACTTACTAAACTCTTATGTATGTACTGTAATTGTTTGTGCTTGTTCCCTTCCTTCCACCGAAATTTTAATGCCATTTTTTCAAGAGTCGGGAGTGTCTCGCGTACCTAAGCTGTGTGATATCAAATTGATTTGCGAGTAAGTAACCTATGAAATCTATGATTCTAGAGTCATAAACCATACCTTCTGTTTTTTCTGGATTATCCGTCTACTGCTCTCTCTCAGAACTGCGTTCAGATACCAACGTCAATGTTAAAGAGACGTTGACCGTCTCTTCAACGCTGACGTTGGCATCTGAAGACAGTTAAAAGGCACTTTTATAAAATTTACAGAAGTGATTTTCGAAGCTTTTCAGCACTTCCAAAGCGCTGAAGAAGCTTTACTATTCTCTCCTTACGCGCAGCAAGGATATCAGCTGTTTCATGCACATTCTAACATACTTGGAGATAGACATAATTTAGTTGTCGATGGTGGATTTTTTGCCCCATCGGATTTTTTGTTTCACTGACAGAAAATCTTCTCTCACCAATTTGGGGATGACGCATACGCCTCTGTAGAGCAGACTAGGAGCTTTCGCAATCACAACTTTATGCCGAGTAAAGTCATTGTTGAGAAAAATACAAAACAAAAAAATGCGACAGAACTTGCTACACAACCTAGTGAAAAAGACCCTTTTTGACAACATCAAAACAAGTTGTGAATCCCCCCCCCCTTCCTCCCTACCGTTTTCGCTGTGCTTGAGGCTACAGAAAGACGGAGCAAGTGTCGAGTTGGGAAACGAATCGTGTGCATGCAAAGTGTCTGATTCATTTCTCTGTTCATAATGATCTCTTAAGTGTTCATGAGTTGTGGGCTTATCCAGTTTTTAGGCCTAACACCGCTCCTTGCCTGCTATCGTTCTGCGCTTATTTTACCCAAAGTTGTTGATCTTGACGTTCAGCTATTGATTAGACACATGTTAGCTTCTGCCAATGTAGGTAATAATAAGCGGTTATTTTCCTCCTATTAAGCATCGGTTCTGAATATTTTGCTCTGAGTACTGCTTCAGTAACCTCTTCCATTATTGAAGCTGCGATATGTTGTTGATTTTGCTTTGCTTGTTTCTATCAGTTTCCTGACTTTCTTCATTGTGACATGCACCACACTGTTTCGCTTGACCAGCAAGTGAAGCATAGTGATTTCAAACCAAATATACAGTGTGGATTTGCTGGTGAACTCAAAACAGTTTATTACAGAACCTTATCAAACAAACAATGGCTTTTGACCTATAGAGTAAATGAGAAAGTTCACTGCTCAAGGCCTTCTTCAACAATGATGATCAACTAGCAGGCATCAGTGAAATGCATCGATGTTTTCTTTAAAACTGGATGATTGTCTTGCAATAATGAAAGCTACCGAGCCGCTCAGTGCAGTTGTGAGCAGGAAAGCAACGATCAAGAGTATAGACGCTGTCCTTGAGAAGCAAACGTTGGGAATTCTCAAGTTTCCTCCAGCAACTAAACGAATTTTTCTCAAAAAAAAAAGAGATTATTGCTGAACTAAAGCAGCAACCTGTTTTATCATCGAATGGTAGCACGATAACGTCCACGCTGAGATCTGTTTCCATGTTGAGGTCCCTTCTTTTTTTGGCCGGTTTCTTGACTATTTCTGCAAGTATGCCCTTTGCTTTTTGCAGAAACAAAGCGTTGATTGTTCGGTTGAGAAAAGAAAGGAAATTGCAGTTTTTGATTTTGCGGATTTTTTAACGTTTTTCTGTTGTGGCATTTCCACAGAGGTACAAACTGGTGTCACCAGCATTATCATGGGAACCGTCACCTATTCACTGAGTAAGGTTCCCGCATCATATGCTAACGCGACAGGTTGAACAATAGCATAGTGAATGGCCCCATTCGATAGAGCAAAGCATTCTTAGAAATATTATATATAAAACATTCATATAAACCATGATTCATGTATAAGTTGTAGCAAGAGCCTTATCTTAATTTAGAAAAATTCTGCAACCTTCATCCTTGGTTAAGCATATAGTGAATGCAGATAGTATAATCATTTAAACATTTGCCGTATTCAATGACTAGGAGATCAAAGTCGGTAGTAATTTAGTCGATACTCATCTTATGACTCTGAGTTAGTTCTGACATGAGTTATCACTGAGCTAATGCGCACCTTTCTGAGCCCTGTTTACAGACTAAATCTGGAAAGCGATGATATGGCAGGGTACTAGGTAGCCGGTATATATACCTCTAGTAAAGAAACATCGTCGAAATCATTCTGCGCAAAAAACAGCGCCACCAAACGCAGTTGGGCTTTGTAATAACTCTGAGTTTGATGCGCGTTCCAGTCTACCTGGAACTCAGGGTAACTCTGAGTTTGGTTAGAGAAAGAGAAATAGTGCACAAAAGAAGAGAAGCTGCTAGAAGGCTAAACTTACGAGGGAGGTACTATAATGGCCGTGGCCTTTTGATATGGGATGCATATTGTCTGAAGCAGCTTCGAACGCTGATTTTAAATCTGCTTTCCGTTTCTGCGGAGCGCCCTTCTGAAGAGAGTTATGGAAGCCTGAATATCCTATTTTGGGGGCGCTTTTTGAGTTTGAGAGCGGTGCTGTGTGCGACGGTGGTACAGTTTTGTAATGGTTAGTTGTTGGCATTGAAGGCGAAAAATCGGTGGCTTGAATCCGGTGCAGAGCGAAACATTTTGCACTTTGAATGTGAGTTTAAAAACCAGTCTAAATCTAGTCACTTACTGTAAGGCCTTAACAAATGTGACCTAAGGGAAAAATTTCTAGCAAAACCGCTTGCTTGTTGAGATTTGGTTTTCTCCGCAAAAAATTTACAGAGGTAAAGCGAAATCACAAAATGGGCAAAACACAGACATTTCTCACAACGGGAACAGCGTATGAAGAAAATTTCGCGCGATTCTCATGCTCGCTACCCATTGTATTGAAGGCAGGAGAGAACATCTTCTCAATTAATGATAGTGATCACTTCTTTAGCTTGACATGGTGGTGAACATGCTTCACCATGCTCATTCCTGTTTCACTGCCAACGAAGTCAGGTAGAGTTTCAGGGCCTAATTACAATCAGTTATGGTAGAAAATTTTTCCCTTAGCTGACATTTACCAAGGGTATTACAACAAGTGACTGCAGACGAATTAGACTGATTTTTAAACTCACATTCAAAGAGCAAAATGGTTCGCTCTGCACCGGATTCGAGCCACCGAGCTTTCGCCTTCAATGCCAACAACTAACCATTACAAAACTGCACCACCGACGCACACAGCATCGCTCTCAAACTCAAAGAACGCCCCCAAAATAGGATATTCAGGTTTCCATATCTCTCTTCAGAAGGGCGCTCCGCAAAAACGGAAAGCAGATTTGAAATCAGCGTTCAAAGCAGTTTCAGATGAAATGCATCTCATATCAAATGGCCACGGCCATTGAAAGTACTTCCCTTGTTAGATATATCATGTTTTGACATGCTTTGTGTTAGTGCAGTGAATACACGAAGGCAAAGCAATTTAATTCAAAGGGTGCGTCGTAGCCTAGCTGTCAAGTGATAGGATCATCGCGCTGATCCAAGCAGTTTGAGTCCCAAGATGAGCGTCGCTTTCGTAGGAACATAACAGCTTCTCCAAAAGCAAATCAATTTCAAGCATGAGAGTTGGCACTCGGAACTTTGAAAGCGGAATCCAGAGTTCCGATAAGCAAAGCTCTGAGTCTCGAAAACGGGAAACAAAGTTATTTCTGAGTTGACGCGGAGCTATAAACTCTGAGTTTCGACTAGATTACTACCGATCCAGAAATATAGATCGTAGTTTGGCAAACCAATGACCTTCCAGCGGATAGAAGACTATATGTCGCCGAGAGTGGGAAGGCCCGCGCGGACAATGCAGCAGATACTCAGCCTGTGCATGTATTGGAACGTGTCTTACAGATGTCGGGCAGGACCTCCCACTTTCGGCGACATATAGTCCCCTACCCGCCTTTTAGCACATGTGATAGTATTTATCAGTGAAATTTCCAAGCTTTGCTCTTTTATTTCTGGGGTTTCATGTTTCAAATATGCGATGTGTCTTTTATACAATAAAAATCCGTTTTAAGATGACTTTTCAAACTTTGGATTGGATAAAATATATTTGGCTTGAAAACTAAGGTTGTTGAAATGTGCTTGTTGATAAACTTCTACAACATTGATTCCTGAAACCCTAACATACATACCAAAATATATAGAGTCTATGCACAGAAATTGAAAATAAACCTCGTTGCTAAAATCTATGATGAGATTTCTGAGAAGCACATATGAATAATGGAAATTTACCAGAAGTGTCACTTTGTTTTCCAGAAGTGTTTTGAGAATTTTGGGACTTTTACAGAGATCTAAAGCAACCTCTCTGTAAAAGTCCCAAAATTCTCGAAACTTCACCTGACATGCAATCAATCCAATGTTCTCTTGACAAAACTCAAATCAATCATCTTTAAATTGAGAGTTTCTGAAGTAGAACATGATCTTCATTGATGCTACGTGGCTGTGCGGCTTTTATGAATGCCTACACTTTCACGTAAATTTCCTATTTTTTCTCCTCTAATTTAGATCCTTCGTAAGTAATTAACCCTTTTTCATCTCTACAACATGCAGCTCAAGCTTCTCACGTTTGCACTCATCAAAAGTCATTAATTGTGACCAATTTTGGAAGATGAGCGGGAACCGCTAATGACACATTTTTGCATTGCAAAAATGTCTTTGAAATGAATCTGAATGTTTGTTTTAAGAAACCGTAGAGTTGGCATACATTTTCTCTCCAAAGGCATTCCAAGCCAACTGGAGGGTGGTGAAATTTTGACGCATTGCGGGAGCACGGCTCCTAACTGGTGTAACAATTCAAGTCCGGTCGAAAAAAATAGTGCGCTGCTGAAGAAAGGGACGGTCCTCTAATTCCGCCCCCTTGACAAGTTTTGATGTGCAAATGTTGTAGATCCAGTGTATTAACCAAGTCAACTTTTTCAAGGAGGCGAAACTAGCGGACCGCCTCTTTTTTTCCAAAACGATTCCCTCCCTTTACAGTCCATCTTTTTTGATCGGACTCAAACTGTTCATAAGTCAAGAGGAGTGCTCCCGTACTGCATCAAAACCCCACCACCCTCCAGTTGACCTGGGCAATGCCTTTAGCTGGTCTTTTGCGACCTTGAAAAGACAATTTGCAAAATATGTATATGCTTGGCATTGGCATGCTTGTCATTGGTGTTAGTGTCAGACTTTAGAGTTTTTGAAGCGTTTTTTTGTATGTAAAGAAAATTACATTGTGAAAGTGATTTGACGTTTTTCAACGAAACGCTTACGTGAGCGATTAGTCAGTATTAATGCATGATCCATTGGCACTGTCTTATTGAGAGGACTGTCCCTGTATTTGGTCCTGCAAAGATATCATTTACAAGAGTGATCAACGTCACTACCAGCTACCTGTCATAATGAGAGCGTATGGGCCCAAAAAATTGCTTCGATTTGTTCGAATCGTGATTATCATCGTCCTCATCATCTGAATGTTAAATTTAGCTAAATCGCTGCTATATGGAGAGTGATCTTAATATGCTTGAGTACCTAATCCATCGTGTTGTATTTCCATTCCTTGTGAGAAACACGAAGGTGGCTAAAATATTTTTTCCTTCCTTAATTGCGGTTTTGAGAATAACAAAGATTTGCATAGGCAAATATTTGAAACTAGCTGGCTTACCCGGCTCCGCCGTATCCGGACCAAACTTGGCACACATACACTTCGGGCCCCGGCGGGTGTCACAGTCTACTTTTCGTTATCGATCGATGTCGATTTTACCGATTTTTATCGATTTTTTCGCAGAGTTCACCTACAGGGCTAGGAGTTGGCACAGGGGGGAAGTGAGCATGGGAATTCCGAATACAATATTAGTTTTCAGAATTATCGGTTACTTTTATTGATTTTCTCGATTTTTTGTAAATTTTGACATGCGAGGCTGAGATTTTGCACAGGGGGGTAATCGAGCATGCTGATTACGAACACAATATTAGTTTTCAGGATCGTCCATTACTTTTATCGATTTTATCGATTTTTTTGTAAAGTTTGACCTGCGGTGCTGGGAGTTTGCACAGGAGGTAATCGAGCATGCAGATTACGAATACAATATTAGTTTTCAAGATCGTCCATTACTTTTACCGATTTTATCGATTTTTTGAAAATTTGAGCTAGGGGGCTGGAATTTGGCACAGGGGTGTAATCGAGCATGCTGATCACCCCCCTTGGGGATGATCAGCATGCTCGATTACCCCCCTGTGCCAACTCCCAGCCCCCTAGCTCAAACTTTGCAAAAAAATCGATAAAATCGATAAAAGTAATCGATAATCCTGAAAACCAATATTGTATTCGGAATCCCCATGCTCGATTACCCCCCTGTGCGAACTCCCAGCCCCGTAGCTCAAACTTTGCAAAAAAATCGATAAAATCGATAAAAGTAATCGATAATCCTGAAAACCAATATTGTATTCGGAATCCCCATGCTCGATTACCCCCCTGTGCCAACTCCCAGCCCCGTAGCTCAAACTTTGCAAAAAAATCGATAAAATCGATAAAAGTAATCGATAATCCTGAAAACCAATATTGTATTCGGAATCCCCATGCTCGATTACCCCCCTGTGCCAACTCCCAGCCCCGTAGCTCAAACTTTGCAAAAAAACCGATAAAATCGATAAAAGTAATCGATAATCCTGAAAACCAATATTGTATTCGGAATCCCCATGCTCGATTACCCCCCTGTGCCAACTCCCAGCCCCGTAGGTGAACTCAGCAAAAAAAATCGATAAAAATCGATAAAATCGATATCGATCGATGACGAAAAGTAGCCTATGACACGCGCCGGGGCCCGAACTGTATGTGTGCCAAGTTTGGTCCGGATCGGTTCAGAAATGGAATTTTCTATTCGGAACATACGTACAAACATACATACAGACAGACAGACAGACAGACAGACATACATACAAACAGACATTCAGCTTTATATATAAGATGGAGACTCACATGAAGCTATTGACAATGCAGTTCTCAAGTTTTCTGATTTTTTTTTGGAAGCCTTGCACATTAGTCAGTACATCTTTCATTTATCAAAGCTCGAGTTGGCATGATTAACTTACTCACATATCACATTTTTTGTAGCAAAGGGTTTTCACAGACTATTCCTACCAATCACTTGGCGCTAACGTACGGCAAGCTTTGACGTGTTACTCAGCACCCCTGAAGGCAGTGTCCCGGCGGATTCGCGCCTTAGGGGACATTGCTGTGGTGGAGTTCCTGGTCATTCACTGACCTCCAAGCGAGTCCGGTTAGTTGATGTTCCTCCTGGGCCGAGAAAATAGCCCTTGAACCGGCGCGGCAATCCCAATCGGCGCGCGTTCGGACGACTTCGCTTACCGTTTGGCGCAGGACCCCACAACCATTCTCTCACATTGTGCATGCTATCCAAAGCAAAAACTACAGACAGCAGGGTCTTCGTGCCAGGATCTCCCAACTTTCCATGAAAATTTCCGTCGTAGCTGCCTTTTGTACATTGGGTAAACGCCCCGGAAAAGGTCTTTTCACCCGGTTTAAAGCCCAAATTCGGCTGTAGAGGTCGAAAAGGCCAGAACATGCAAAAAGATGGGAATGCAAAATCTGCCGGGACACTGCCTTTAAAGGCGTCCAGGCAAAATCTCGACTTCTAACCTTATCCAAGCCTTTTCATGCCGTCGATTCCAAATATAGCACTCAAATTGTGTGAGTTCTTCAGTAAACCCCATTTCTGAGACAATTTTGTGAGACCGTGGACGAGTGCTCCCATTGCTATCCTTGTCAGCAAACATTAACAGGAAGACACTATGTCTTCGATTGTATTTGCCACATGAAAACACGTTAAGGGCTGGGGAGAGTCGTTCAAGGAGGCGGGCCGTGTGAGGGAGTGGACGTGGTCCTCTAGGCTGGACGTTTTCTGTGCCGAATTTCTCCTTTTACAGGGGATGTTTAGGATTTGGATTTGCGAGATAGCTCTAGATCAACGTCTTGGTACTCGGTTATGATAGTATTCGAACATGTCCAAATTTGACCGGAAGCTGCCTTTAAGCTTGGGAAAGTGCTAGAGATTTCGTTTATTTGTGCAAAATGACAACGACAACTCACTGCTCACGTCTGCAATGGCGTCGCGACATTCGTTCGGCACAACGAATCGCGAACCTTTTTCACTAGAGCATAGATTTTTAGCAGCGCAACAATTTTGGCAACAAAGTTGTCACGTCTCTTGTGATGCATCGGCGACACAGCCGATATCGCTGGGTTTACAGTTCTTTTATGTGAGTCTATCGAAAATGCGCATTAGTGTTTTCAGCTTGTTTCTATGTGCTGATAAAGTAAAACTCATCTGAAGTACTTACATGTTATTTCAAGTTTTGATGCTCTTTTTCAAAAATGTGGGTAATCCAATTTCTTAACAATAAAGTTTTTATTTTAGGTAAAGTGTGAGCGGCAACCAAGTTTGTTGAAATACTTCATCGACTAACGTTTCCAAACCAATTTCTCAGAACCCGAAGTGGGTAACACGATCTGCAATCTATTCAATAAGTCTCTGCAGCAAAGTGAGAAAGTGTCAAGACTTTCGCTGGATTACTAGCCCCTGATAGCCAGCAGCTAAACCTCACCATTTCAGACAACTGACCCAAATGAGAACCATTATTTATAGTAGTAATATAGTCAGAAGAGCTGACTTAGTAAGGCCCGAATTCACGTGCGATTGTTGGACAATCCTCTTTGCATCCATTTTGGCCTTTCGCATGAATCCAACAAGCTTCCAATATCCGTGAGCTGATGTTTGAAATTCCTGACTCAGTTATACCGAAATTCCGAGATTTGTCCTTGCATGTTTCTGAACCCGGTGAGTGCCAAGAGTAGTGGATATGCACGAATTATCCCTACCAGAGTGTTAAAGCAAACACACAGCGGGAGCGTCGTCTTACTTACGTACTCCTCGCCTAATCGTCGCAGGAAATCGGTAGATGACCAAGTCCTGTGCCGTCCCCGCTTTTCTTCTGAGAGCATATAGTACAATTTGGCCTTATGTAGGTGAGCTCATGGAGAGGTTGCGATACTGACTGTTTACCACATAGTGATGTTCTAACTCACTCCTATATGCTCGTACATAATTTTTATGACCAGTGGAAGACGCTATGCTGCGCGCAAGAGCTAAAAATAGAACGCGTTCCCTTTGTCCACTACAAACCTGGGAGGCTGAAACGTTTTGATTACAGTTCTTTTTGTTTGGAGTGAGTGTGCTTTACGAAGTTAAGAGAATAGCAGCCTTGCTACTGCTATTGCTCGCTGAGTACTGTCAACATTTGTCTGAATGGTTTAGATGGTAAATCGTCTACATAACTACAGTATAGCAAGAGAGGTGATTCAATGGCGCTTTGGTATCTGCCATAAAGAGTACTGCGTGTGGGACTAACCTTCGTTCCATAACCAGACCTCTGACCTGCGCGATACAGCTTCCTGACCTTTTGAAGATCTTGCAAATTGTGCATGATTGCAAAAGGGAAATAACTCGTGAGATAGAAAGCCGGTTATCGAGATTTCGTTGTATTTGAGAAGCTCAGAGACAGCTTGCATCGCGGACTCATTGCTTACGTTGGTTTAGAGCGCGTTGACATCACAAGGCTCTATAACGCAGTTAGAATCTATGGGCACTGCGCATAGACTGTCCAAAAACATTTCGTGTTAGCCATGTGCTCTCCTACGCTGTTTATAATAGGTCGCACATTGAATGTTGATGGCTCGGTGGAAGTCATGTCGGCGTTTGATTGGAGCTCGTGTTTCAGTGAGCAGATATACACTGGACAGGCACGTATACATATAAATTTTGAGGGGCGCAAAAGTGTCGTGCGATAAATGAGTTGCTCTAGCTCGCCTTCATTCTCTGTTAAGTTTGCAGTATTGGCCCGTAGTAAAGCTCGATCAGTTTAGGTGAACTGAACTCAACGCAGCAGCTGAACTTGCTTCAGATGAAATGATGACCGCCCACCCTATAAGCATGCCAAGAGAACTAACAGTTGGCCATCCGTCCACCGCTGCAGTCAACTGATCCACTTGCATCAGCTCACGATCGGTTGAGACGTAAAGTAACTAATGCAAATAGTATGGAAAAGACGAGACGCAGAGGACATTCCCATAAGTTGCTCCTGAGTAAGTTACGATCAGGGTCAAGCAAGGGGTGTGGCACACGATCGCTGGTTACGACCCCCCCCCCCCCTGAACTATATACCTAAGATAGCACTACCAGAGTTGAGAAAGAGGTCAGGCACAAGTTTTTCGAACC